CGGCCCTGGCTGGACGAGGGGAGGCCGCACAGCAGGGCCAGAGGGACGGCTCCAGGAGCCCTGTCTGAGGTCAGAGTTCAGTGGTTGGTGAGTAGTGAGTTCCCCGTCCCCTGAGGCATTCCAGCCACCACCGGTCTACTTTCTGTCCCTGAGGGCTTGCCTGTTCGTTTGTTCTCCGGCCTGCACACTGAGTTCTGGCTGTTCTCAGCAAACCCGCCCGTGTGAGGCCTGACCCTGAGCCAGGCCTGTGGGGAGACCGCGGACTGTAAGGCCTTGGCCCTGCCCTGTGCTCACGTCACACCTGGAAGCTGGGCTCTAGGCAGGCGGCCCGTGGGGCAGGGATGCCGGGTGGGCTGTCATCTCCAGCCGGGGACCCCCAGGGGGACCCCCAGGCAGGTGCTGTCTGTCGTCTGGGGTTGGTGCCCCTTTCAGTGCCAGGAAGCACAGGAGTTGACCACCGTCTGGGGTCCCCCACCCGTGAGGCCCTCGCTGGACCTGACGCCGGGACGACTGAGCCATGGCCGTGGCAGCGCCCACAGCCTGGAGACGCCGGGCCGACGGCGCGTCCCAGCCCGAGGGGACAGAGGGGACAGCGAGAGACTCCGTCGCGCTCCTCGGAACAGCACACGGCTTTCAAAATCGATTTTATAGGGAGAGGAAGGGAGAGGGAGAGAAACATCCACGATGAGGGAGAATCATGGATCGGCCGCCTCCTGCACACCCCCGACTGGGGATGGAGCCCGCAACCCGGGCCTGTGCCCTGACGGGGAATCGAACCCTGACCTCCCGGTTCATCAGTTGTCGTTCAACCACCGAGCCACCGGCCGGGCTCACAGGGCCGATTTTAAACGGGTGACGGTGTTTGTAGAATTTCCCATGCACTGTTTTCGGGTGGCGTGGACTGTGGCTCCGGAACCCCGGCCGAGGAACGGCGGGGGCCGGGGGGCGACTGGGCGGCTTCTGCTCCTCGGCGACGAAGACGGACACTCACCACACGTCGGCCACAACGCCTGCACCTGTGGGTGCGTTAAAGAGCAGACGAGGTGGGACGACAGCAGATCCGATCGCTCGGAAGTCCGAGTGAGCTGTAAACGAGTAGGAACAAACGGAACTCGGAACCAAAGCGGCTCCTCGGAAAGCTGTGAAGCGAGATTGAAGACAAGTGAGAGCCCCTCCGGCAGCGTCTTCCCTGAAATAGCGTCAGTGTTGAGGGTTGTGTTCGGAGAGCAAACCTCTGTGCCATCAATAAACGAAATGTCATTTAAAGACCTTCCTCTCCACCCCTCCTTCCAGCACCTTCCGTGTGTCAGTGCACACGTTCGGACGGGGTCGGCTGTGCCGTCTCAGGAGGCTCCCTGCCTGGCTCGCTCTCCGCGTGGAGGCCCCGCCGGGCCAGGCCCC